GACGAGTGCCGTTCTGATTCGTTGCAAGGAAGGGGTGCAATACCCGGTATTTTATGTAAGCAAAACAATGACAGAGGCAGAAAAAAGATACTCAAAGGCCGAACGGGTGGTACTTGCACTTGTAAATGCAAAAAGAAAGTTGAGGCATTATTTCGAATCCCACCCCATAGCTGTTCTAACAACTTTTCCAATCAGAACGCTTATGCATAAGCCAGAGCTCTCGGGCAGAATGACAAAGTGGGCCATAGAGTTGAGTTCATTTGACATAACGTATGAGCCGAGAACAGCTGTTAAAGGGCAAGCGGTGGCCGATTTCCTGCTAGAATGTGATGCCGAGGATACGGAAGAAGACCTTAGATGCGGCTCTTGGAAACTTTTTGTGGATGGCTCCTCTAACCAGATGGGGGCTGGAATTGGGATCAAACTGCAAACCCCAGAGGGTACTTCCTTAAGCCAAGCACTCAGACTTGAGTTCCGAGCCACCAATAATGAAGCGGAATACGAGGCGTTGCTAAATGGATTAAAGTTGGCCAGAGAGCTACAGATCAAAAGTTTGACTGTGTATAGTGACTCGCAGCTGATTGTTCGGCAGGTAAATGGTGAGTACGCGACCAAGGATGACACGATGGGGGCATATCGTTCTGCCGTTCTGCATAAAGCCAAGGACTTTGCAAAGATTGAATTCATACAGTTACCGAGGGAACAGAATGCAGATGCGGACCGGTTAGCATGTAGTGCTTCGAGTTCCGGTGAAACATTGGCAAGGGTGATTCCAGTAGGAATACTGACCCAGCCATCTATTTTCGAAGAACCCTTGGACTCTGACCCTTGGCAAGTCAACGTCATACCGTATTAACCGAGTTGGATTGACCCCATCATTACCTATATTCGAGATGGCGTTTTGCCTATGCAGAGGGATGAAGCTAGGAGACTCAAAAAGAATGCTGCAAAGTACGCCATCGTGCGTAACCAGCTGTACAGAAGATCCTACTCTGGCCCATACTTGAAGTGTGTCACCCCCGCGGAGTCGCAACAGGTATTGCGAGCTATTCATGAGGGTGTGTGTGGCAATCATTCTGGGGGGCAATCGTTAGCGCATAAAGCAATGACACAAGGGTATTTCTGGCCAAACATGTCAAGAGATGCGGAGGAGTTCTCTCGAAGGTGCGATAAATGCCAACGATATGGACCATTGATCCACCAACCACCTGAGGAATTGCACGTAATGGCCTCGCCATGGCCTTTCGCGCAATGGGGGATGGATGTGGTCGGTCCTCTGCCAACTGCAAGAGCTCAGAACAAGTATGTGTTACTGGCCACGGATTACTTCACTAAATGGGTGGAAGCAGAACCATATCCTAGCGTGACTCAGACTCATGTGAGACGATTTATTTGGAACAATATTATCTGCCGTTTCGGCGTTCCCAGATCAATAGTCATGGACAATGGCACAAACCTCGACAGCAGGCAAGTGAGAGAGCTGCTGGAGGAGTATGGAATCAACCAGAAGTTGGCTGCAGTAAGTCATCCTCAGGCCAACGGACAAGCAGAAATCACAAACAGAACCATTTTCGCCTGCATTAAGAAGAAGCTGGAAGACCATAAAGGGAAGTGGTTGGATGAACTCCCGAACGTTCTATGGGCTTACAGAACCACCCCAAGGCGGCCGACTGGGGAGAGCCCGTTTGCAATGGCATATGGTACCGAGGCAGTTATACCGGTTGAGCATTTGGTCCCCACTATCAGAAGCTTAGCATGGAGTCGAGATCAGAACGACAAGATGTTAAGATTGAACCTCGATATGATAGACGAAAGGAGGGACACAGCGGCTATAAGGTTAGCATCGTATCAGCAAGTATTGGCGAATAGTCACAACAAAAGAGTAAAACACAGGGATTTTGCCCCTGGCGATCTGGTTCTGAAAAGAAAGGTGGGGATGGTCAAAAAAATGATGCCACCCTGGGAAGGCCCATACAGAATTGCAGAAGTCATAGGCAAGGGGGCATATACGTTGGAAACCATGGCGGGAAGGTTGGTCAGCAAGCCCTGGAACGCCACGTCTCTGAAGAGGTACTACTAATAAAAGCTAAGTTTCGGCTTTAATTGGATGTTGTTTGTTGTCAATCAAATACGTATGAATGTGTAAGTTACTGAAATTTACAAAAAATAACTTTCTTTTCCAACGGCCTACTAAAAAATGAAAAGCCAAATGGCAAGTGGCATTCTAGCCGAGCGCCAGGCACTTAAGCAAGATAAGTGGCAGCTGGCACCATAAGCCGAACGCCAGACACTTGTTAAAAATTTTAAGCCAAGTGGCAAGTGGCATTCTAGCCGAGCGCCAGGCACTTAAGCAAGATAAGTGGCAGCTGGCACCATAAGCCGAACGCCAGACACTTGCTAAAAATTTTAAGCCAAGTGGCAAGTGGCATTCTAGCCGAGCGCCAGGCACTTAAGCAAGATAAGTGGCAGCTAGCACCATAAGCCGAACGCCAGACACTTGCTAAAAATTTAAAGCCAAGTGACAAGTGGCATTCTAGCCGAGCGCCAGGCACTTGCCATAAACAAACACACGGCAAAGCTAATATAAAAGAAAAGAGAGAAAAGATATATATGTATTGAAAATAGGTTGAACAGAGCACAACACAAAGGGAAAAAGAGTTCTGTCATTTCATTGATATTAAGCATTGAGTTTACAAAAAGTGAGATGTCCATCGTTACAAAAAGATATGGAATGGAAGAGTCCGAAGGAGCCCTAGCTAGACGCCTCAGTACCAACAGCATCCTGGTTGTGCCGACCCGCCTCCTCGGCCCCATCAGCCGTCTCACCTTCACGAGGTGGGGAATCAAGATGAATGACTGAATCGTTCGGCTGGGGCTCAGCGTCAGCAGTGGCTATGGAAGGTACCACAGTTGACGATTGAGGAGCGGTCAGAGGCAGAGCGGTAGGAGGAGCTGTGATGATCCTTGAGGAAGCAATGTCCTGGCACTCATCGAATATGCGCTCCGCTTCGGTGGGTTCTGGGTCGACATAGACCCCTAGAGGTTCGATCCCTAGATCATTGTCGACCTCATCTGGAGTGGAACTGGTCTGTCCCTCATCCGGAACTCGGTCGGCGAAACCTTCCCGGAATCCTTGAGCATATCTAAGAGCACCGACCCTTGAGAACCGAGCGTGAAGAGCCAGCATCCCACCACTCACTCTGCTGATCGCATCGATCAGAGCGGTACGCTCGTCCAGAGCTCTTTTCTCAAAAGCCATCCGAGCAGACTGTTCATCAGCCAGAAGGCGCTGGAGTTCTGCCTTTTCGTCTCTGATTGAGTCACGCTCAGTCTGCCAGACGCTCTTTTCAAGCTGGAGGGCATCCTTCTCATCCTGAAGAGAGTCATTCTCCTTCTTCAGGATATCTCTCTCTTGTTCAGTTTTTTCAAGCCGAGCCAGTACCTCGGTATTCTTCATGGCGAGAAGGTCGTTTTCTTTATTAGCCACCTCCAGGCTATCAGAAAACTTACGAGCCCTGGCGTTCCCCATCTCCACCTGCTTCTGCATAGCCATCATTCCGAACAATATCTGCATAGGTGTACATTAAGAACGGTTAAGCCAATAGTCAGGTCAGGCGAAGGCAAGACCAAATAATATGAGAGAATTCATGAGTTGGAAAATAAAAGTCACCTCCATAGCAGATTGGGGAAAGCGGCTGAACACATCCTTCTGGGATAGGCCCTTTGCCGCCTCAAGGTCTTTCGGAGTCCACATGCTCCTATAGTACGCCATGGCGGTCTGGCCATCCTTCAGCATGGTCTCGTTCGGTTTCACGAACGTCCCATCCGTTCGGGTGTACCGAGGGGCCCATGGCGGTAAGGTGGGGATAGAAGGGGGGCCTGAAGCAGAAGCGGAGCCACCAGCTGCAGTAGGCCCAGAGGGAGCAGGAGCTCTGATCGCACGGTGCAAGAGAGCACCCGGCCCGGAGACCCGGGTCCTTCTTATGAGAGATTCCTCCTCAGGATCGACTTCACTGTCAGGATGAGGCCTTTTGCCTCGTTCTTTGTCCCGAATGCCCCCCGCGGCAGCAGGAGCTGTGGTAGTTTGGGGAGACACGCTCGGGTTGGCAGCAGGGGTGCTGACAACAGAGTTAATAGCCACTGTGCTCGGGATAGTGTCAGAGATGGTGGCTGAGGAAGAGGCTGATGCTGGAGAGGAGGTCGCCCCAGCAGCAGGAGTGGCTGGGGGAGTATTTTTCTTCCTGCCAAAAGAAGGAATCTGAAGCCTGCTCATGTTATAGCCGAGTGATGAGAGCGCTAAGAGGTTGTCTGAAGTGAGGAGATCTGAGCAGGAAGGAATATCGTTCAGAACGTATTTCTTCAAGTAATTACTCCTATCCCTGCAAACACTGTAGCTCAAGTCATCACAAGGTATTCCTAAGGAACGGCATAAGAAAGTACAAAAACGGGGAACGCATGTTTCGTAGGGGCAATCATGTTTATGAGATTTGAATTTCTTATAGGAGGAAACAGAACAGACACCAAAGGCGCTCGGGATTGGGTAACCCTCTGCAACCGGCGAAGACCAAGTCCCACTAATGCCCACGATGCTATCCCTCCAACCCTTTTCAGATTTTATTGTGTCCGTACATATGGACATCTTCTCGAACGGGTAGAGGTGGTAGAAGGGTTCGTTAGTACGGATCTTACTGACCTTATAACACAGAAGAAGGTCTATGAGGTCAAGGTCCAGATTTCTGTCACGCATCAACAGGAGCATAACGGATATGATTCTAAAGAAATTGGGGTTTACCTGCAGGGGGGATATCCCCAATCTATTGAAGACATAACTAAAGAAAGGGTGCAGAGGGAACCTAACAACATTCAATTGAAGGTTCGTGAATAAGACTTCGCCGGGCAGGAGGCCGGCACCGGTCATAATGTTAACGTCCTAAGGGCAAACCCTAACTTCGATGTTGTCAGGAAGTCTAAGTCTCATACGAAGAACATCCAGATCTACAACCATGGTGGAAGTGCTTGAAGGATCTAAAAGGGGGTAAATAGAAGCCTGCCGAAAGTAAAAAGGAACAAAACTAACCTCAGAAGACTGCAAGATCGCTGGAAGAATGACTCTTGAAGGATTTCACCAGAAAAAGCTTAGCACTGTTCTAGAAAGAGAGAGATTTGACTGATGATGGAGACGGTAAAAGGACGTGAAGTGGTATTCTAGGACCTTATAAAGGCGAGGGGGGCCCGAGGGCCGAAGCGTCGGGAAGGCGAGAAATTCCTCGAGCCCCGGAACATTGATTCTGGATCTGACCGTCCGTTCCCCCACGTGGTTTTCTCGAGCCGTCAACGTCATGATGGGACGCTATCAATAATTACCCCCTTATTAAATAAGGGGCAATTATGGGGGCAGTTGAGGAGGCCCAGGACGACATGGGCCGGATCTAATTTGCAAGCACGACATCCGGTCCGTACAGCTGGGTCGGCCCATAAAAAGACACTGCCATATGGGCCGAACGCGAATAAGCCCATCAAAGGTGACCAGGACTTATGGAGGAACAGGCCCAGATCCAGCAATCCGTCAATATTTGTAAATATCTTGTAAATATCTATAAATAAGGGAAGGAATGAAGAGAATAGGAGGATCTTTTGGGTTGAAGTGTAAGAATTCTAGAGAGAGAAAGAGGGTACGAATTTCTTGCATCTTCAATTTCCCTCTATAACTTCTTAGATTTTAATGAAACTAAAACGGCCTGCTGTGGAATGGGAAAGTTCAACGTAGAATTGTATTGCACGGTAAAGGGTAACCTCTGTCCGAACCGCGACGACTACCTGTTCTGGGACTTGTACCATCCGACTGAGAGAGCCTCCAAGTTGGCAGCTCTAACCCTCTATGGTGGTGGAATAGAGTTTGTGACACCCATGAATTTTAGTCAGCTGGCTGCAATTGACATTTAAGCTGCATTTCCCAAGAAGTTGCAACGTGACCAAGTGCTAGCTCCAGATCATGCCTCCGTCCACCGCTGCGACCTCCGGATCATCATGCCTCGGAAAACCCTAATTTCAGTGCTCTGTTTTGTCTTCTCGTCCCCAGAGTGAGCAAATTAGCCGTTGCAACGGCAGTTTGATTCAGTATTAAGACTTGGTTTGGGCATTTTGGTACCAAACTTTTTGTTGGGCCAACTGACTCTTCTTTTCTCTTTTCTGGGTTGGGCCTTGTATCAACCCTTTACTGTATATATTTTAACCATCAATAAAATTGCTTTTAAAAAAAAAAAAGATTTTGTGTTATATGTATGTTTGATTCAGTGATAATTGTAATGCCATTGTAAGGCTAAGAATGTTACCAAGGGTTTTGTGGTTTAGTAGTATCTCTTCTACTTTTTAGAACAGATGATGACGATTCGAGTCTCAAAAAAAGTAAAGTAAATGTGTGAGTTTATGTCTAATGATAAAAAAATAATAATAGATAAATAGCTAAGAACATTATTTGTTGGCCTTAAATAAATGACCATAATGAGTGGAGAACTAATCGAGGATTGATTAATTTTGGGGTGTTAACTACCCCTTTTACGGGTTTAAATATATATTTGTTTACAAAAAAAGGAATATATATATATATATATATATATATATATTTGGTAGTAAAGTATGAAAATTTTACATTATTCCCTTAAACTTGAAAAAATCTACTTTCTTATTTTAGAACAATTGATAGGGCAAATTGCATAAAACCCTTTTCTACTTTTAATTTTTGGCACAAAACCCTGAAAATAAAAATTTAACATAAAAGTCCCCTTAAACTATAATGACAATTGATGTTGCCTATTAATAAATTAGGCTGATTTGCTCTTTAATTCCACTCCTTAAATGTATAATTTCAAAAGAATTAAATTGGTAGCATTAATTTGTCAAAATGAAGTATTAACACCATTTTTATTTTCATTAACTTGCCTTCACATTAGTACGAGAGCTAAAACTTAATTTCTTTCAAAAATGCTACATAAGCCAATACCATCATTAATAGGGTTGAGATGAGGGTGGGCCTAACCCCAGCAATTTGAACCCCGCCTCAAGATAGTACTCCAGAATATTAATTTGTTATTTTCTCCAATCAAATAAAAGATAGGTGTCTTTATTGCTATTTTTTATACTTGAATTTTTCATTTGCATAGATTATAATTGCGAGCTTCACCTTGGTCCAAATTCAAATTTCTACTTCTACAAAATCATTCTTGCTCAGTTTTTTTTGTCAGAACGTTGTCTGATTAATTAACAGATTCAAATTTCAACTTCTCCAAATTTTTCATATAACAGATGTAAAATCATTAAGGGCGGATTTAGGGTGGGCTCTGATGGACTTAAGCCCACATCAAAAAAACAAAAAAAAAAAATTTACTAGAGATAATTTTAGCCCAGTCAAAAAAAAAAAAAATTGTTAGTACTAGCCTACTTCAAAATAGATTAGCCCACCCATTATGCATTTGTGAGTCCGCGCTTGAAAATTATTCTTGCTCTGTTCTTTATTTGTCAGAAAGTTGTATGATAATGATTTTATTTTATTTTTTGTTCAGAAAATCATTCTTGCTCAGTTCGATTTTTTTTTGTCAGAAAGTTATTGTCGCTGAGTTCTTGGTTCCAAAGAGACGGTGCAACATCTTAGCTTGCTGAAAACGACCTTCGTTCCAACCAAAGACACCATAGGATTAATTAACAGATTGAGCTACTGATTCCACGATATTCATTCGTGTCGTTTCGAAGCATAATAAAACAAATTTATAATGTATAATTTTAATTACCATAGTAACTCTGAATTTTATATATATCAATAATTTGTCTACGCAAAGCATAATAAAACGAAGTCTTGTCTTCATTTCACAATGCAGTGACAGATTAGTAATTTGCAGCCATGGCCTGATTAACTTTACCTCAATTTGTTCATTTGTTAAATACTTTTTGGTATAAATTAATTAAAAACTTTTAAGTCAAACTTCCATGTGATATAGAAACCCTAGAGAGAGAGAGAAGATGGCGGGAAGAAGATGGATTGTTCTTGTATCTGTTGCCATTATTAATGTTGCCTCCCTGCAGTACTTGGGCCATGGCAGATTTGCCAGCCATATTCATATTTGGTAATTCTATTGCAGATGTTGGGAGTAACAAATAACTTGAAAAATAGCCTTGCAAGAGCTGACAATCCTTAGAATGGGATTGATTTTCCTAATTCAGAACCAACTGGGAGATTCAGCAATGGCTATAACACAGTTGATATAATTGGTACATTTTAGGCACGCACACACACATATATATATATACACATGCGTGTAGTACATGTATTACGAGTTGGGATCCTTTGCTACTGAGTGATGGTAGCCGTCCGTGAGCATGTACTCGGACTTTCTACAACTGAGGATCATAACTCATTTTTATACTATTCAGTGGGTGTTTGTGATTGCTTCTATACTATTCAAAAGTACTTTCATTACAAAAATTACGATCGAATTTGTTTGGTAAAAAAAAAAAAAAAAATTGTTTTTAATTGATAGAGCTAGGTTAGGTCAAAAAAACACGTTTAAGAGAAGTTAGAAATTGCACCTTTCAAAATTGCGTAAGCCCTTTATATTTTTTATAACTATAATTTTGTCTCTGCTAGAAATAAATACCAAACAATATCCTAGTTATTATGGGATTCTGTAACAAACAAACAGGGGGAGCTAGGATTGCAAACTGAGGGGGACTAAAGATATAAAAATTTATAGATGAACACAATAATTTTTATGATAGATATGTTATATATATTCAAAAATAGCAAAAAATAATAAATAAATAAATAAATGATGGGCTTGTAGCTTTGGTTACACTAAAAGAGCTATTTGAATGGAATGAATATTCTCTTATAAGATAAGTGAGATTTCGTTGCTTCTTTATTTTGTTCAGAGAGTTGCTCATTGCTGGGTTGGGCCATTTGCTAATTTTGTTTTATTATGGATTGGGCATGGGCTAGGCTATGGCTGATAGGAAGTAGTAGTACTAATTTTATTTTATTTTATTGGACCTGGGCCAGGTTAGCCCACACTAAGTTACGCCCCTGCAAACAAATATCCTAGTTTATTCTAAGACTCTCCAATGACCTTCCATTTATTTTTTAGTACTAAATACAAATTCTATATAATAAACAAAAATGTGATATTTAAAAATAATAATAATAAAAAATAAAACGATACAAGTTGATTTTTATAAATTATTGAACTCAATAAAATTTTATAATAATATTTAATATTATGGAATTATCAAAATTTAAGTATAAGGGTAAGATAGTAAAATTAGTAATATTAAAAGTAACATTAGTTATGCATTTGGTAACATGTTTTAAGCAACATTATTACCAAACAAATTTAAAAGTGTTTCAAATATAAAAAGTGCTTTATACAATGTGTTACCAAATGCATAACTGCGTTTTACTAATAACAAATTTATAACGGCTCTACTAATAAAAGCGCTTTCAACATTCTAAAAGCAATCTCAAATGAGCTCTCAATATAAAAAATTAATTGTTATTTCTTTCTGAATTTTTTTTTTTTTTTTTTGGTTAATGGATAAGCTTGTGTATAAAGTAGAAAATAATGTACATGGAACCCTAAGATAGGGAAATACAAAAATGAAAAAACCAACCAAAGGCAGCCTAATGCAACCTCTAACCAAAACACTAGCTACAATAGTGATGTAGAACAAATACAATAACAATAACACTATTAGCAACCAACTAAAACCTTATGAAACTAGCCAAGAGTGCACACAGGAGGTGGAACAAGCCTGCACAAACAAACTATGAAGGTCTTGCTCAGTTGTGATTAGCCTAAGATCATCACTCCTCTTTAACTTGATTGTTGCAAGCCTTGCTCTGATACAAGTTTTGATTTGGGAAATAATGTGGTGAGGAGGAGTAGAAACATTCTTGAAAGCGCTTGCATTTCTCTCTTTCCAAAGGAAGTAAATTGCTGCTAACAATAAAAGTTCATGTGTTAAG